GCTTTCTTGCTCTTTGAGATATTGGTCAAAAATGCATGACAATTTTCAAAAAGTGTCCAATTTTTTCAGTATTTTGTGTTTTTCTCAATGAGGAATGGTCTGCATGACATTATTTATATATATCTATAAAGGTAAGGAAAGGGGCTACAATTATTGTTTATGGAGCTAAGTGAGAGGCTGTGTTTCTGATACCGTGGGAATTTTAACCAAAAAAGGAAATTCATCACAAATATATAGAGCATGCTATTATAGGTCACAAAATATAACTAACCATCCTCTTTCCTGAGATATATGCAAACAGGACTGTGGGAATATTTTACCATAAACAGAAAAATAGTTATAAAATTGGGAAAATTTGCTATAAAATGAATAAAATAAAAATAAAAATAAAAATAGCACACATTGTTGCTATGATATTGATGGCTAGGCTCAGAGCTCAGGGTCTATTTGTAAATATAGAACAAAACTCAGAAAATCATAAAGTGATTACATGACCAATTTCCTAAAATTAAATTTAGAGTCCATAGAAAGGACTCATACATGCCATGCAAAGCACTGGCCCACACCCACAAGTGAATGTATGTGTCATTGACATGTGCCATATCATGACTACGATTATGGTAGTCTGGTGCCAATAGGCCATGCCTCTCAACCAAGGTAGCTGGTCAAGTATCAAGTGCCAAAAGGCCGTGCCTCTCAACCAACGTAGCTGGTTGAGCAAAAAATGCCAAAAGGCTCGGATTGTTTCCAATCTCTATATATGGGTTGAAGTGATGACAGGAGTCATCAAGCAAATGATGTGCATTGAAAATCAGGGATATGCCGATGAGGATAAGAAGCATAATGAAGAAAGCAATGGCTCGTGTAGTATGCATGATGGTAAGATCAAGAAAGAAGAATGGAAAACTTACACAATTGAACTTGAACATTCACGTGACTGGACAAACAAGTGCTTATATTCATAACAACACATGACCTATATGTACACAAATTCAGATGTCTTCTCACTCTCTTTGATTTTTGCTTGTGTGTATACTATTATGCATGATCAAAAAAGGCCATAGCTCACTGTTCCCTCATAGATTTGAGTTCCCATGTTTCCTTATGTCCTTTGAGCTTATTCCTCCAATCTGATACTGTAAGAGGTTGAGCTGCACCCAAACGAATATCTTGCAAGCGTTTAACATATGTTGATTCCAACATCTCATTCCAGTGACCATAACTTTCCACATGCATTGTTGTTGTCAAAGATGTTGTAAGGTGGCCACCATGATTTGTTGGAATATACTTTGGCAACTCCTTGATTTCCCAGAATATTCAGAAAGTGAAGACTTTCTAATAAGAAACATACCTGTTGAGCACACATACATTCCACAGATCCAGTCCATTTCATTATGAGTCAGCTTATCATTGAGAAGCGGCGGATATCCTTTCCTATCATTGACAACAAGAAGGCTTCCTCCTCCAACAGGTCCTTCCAACAACTCATCTATGCTCACGTTTCCAATTGTCGATCGTCACAAAAAACCACCATGAAGGATAGCTGCCCGTACGCGGGGACGTCGAAGAATTCGTGATCGACATTGCAGATATGCCTCATAATCCAATTTGGTAAAGTGGTATCCGGCAGGATGCTGTGGAAGAAATAACTCAACATCGGGGTACAATATTGAGCGCGGCATAAGCAGCTCAGTCAGCAAAGTGCGGAATGGAATCCCACGTAATGCCAAGAAACGTGCAATATCTACATCCAGAAATTGAGCATC